ACTCAATACGTCGTTTTTCTCCGGGACTCATTTTCTTCACCAGACGTCTCGCCCAGTTATTTTCAACCCACAACCGAGTCGACAGTTGCCTTGCCGGCGTTTTCCATTCTCACCATCGCCTTCGTCCACGCGGCCAGGAACTTCGACACTTTTGCGTCCCCGTCCCTTGCTTTCCTCCCCACGGTCTCGCCTCCGTCTCGGGCCATCACAAAACAAAACGAAACTCGTTGGCCGGCAACTCTGGCTTCCGTACAGAGCACATATGTGGAGGGTGGAGGCGTCATTCGTGTTCGAACAGGCGCCAATCACTGAAATTCTCCGTCCAAGTCCCAATCTTCATGGGTTGTGTCGGGTCTCTTTTGTACACATATTTCGTTGAATGCGAATAGCGTCTCCGTTTTCTTGTCCTTGACTCAACAGCCCCTGACCACGTCCCCGATTCGCTAAATAGTCGACCTTTGTTCGAGGCTCCATTCTCCATAACGGGTAGCACACCCCAGAAGGGTGGGTATGGCTCCTTTCCGTAAATCGTACGGCTCACAGTGACATACCTCCTCAACATCGTTCACAATCATGTCCGTCCCAGTCGTGAACGGTTTTGCCTCCATTCTCTTAATTGGGCTTTGCCGTTTAACTCCGTTTTACGGCCACTTTCATATCTTCATGCTCACAAACCCAGTTCCTGCCGGATAAAGTGATTTAAGAGAAATTCTGAGCTGTATCTTGACAGACTAGAACGAGTACCGTTTGTCTTGTTTTTTGAGATTGTGAGTGTCTCCTATCGACGCCAAAAATAGGCCACCGCCATTCTGGATTCCGAAACAACGTCTCTGAATTCGGCTGATCTGCTGGTCGTGATGTCCGCAATAGAAATCAGTAGTCTTGAACACTTGAGTCATGTCGATGCCAGCACACCGCATTGTGTGAGGACGGAGTGCACCGATTTGGCCAGCAAGAAACCGGCTTCCCCGACGCAGATTAACGTGCCGTAACCTGCAATTTTACACGGACTTCATTTTCACGTCCTCGTGATCTTCACGGGCTCTCGGGCAGCTCGTGTGCAATATAGTAAACGAGGCGGCCAGTGGACAAAAACTTCTCTCCAAATCGATGTGCCCCTGGTTTTCAGCTTTCCCCCTTTCGAGTAATTTTGACTCTCCACGATGGTAAACCACGGAGTCGGTTGTGGGTGATTGACGGTGCGTCTTGGTCGAGGATCAGGATCAAAGTCAAAACAGAACAAGAAGAAATACACGCAAACAACCTTGTTCTAGCAACGGAAACTTTCCTCTCCAGGATGCCTCCTGTTCAAGATATCGCAAGGGTGTCTCCAGGTTGTTGATCTGGGACAATACGACGGTGGTATTCTCGCAAAAACAGTGTAAAAGGAAGCACTGAGACGAGGGACGAAAACAAAAACAAAACGATAAAAGTCAAACAGGTCTCCCTTTTGATGCTCTTACGTGGTTCATGGATCGTTTCTTGAGGAATCTCACGGACGTTTAGGCGCTAGCACGATGTCGAGCAGCAAGGCCAAAACATCGGGGGAAATAAAAATGAAATACAAACAAACGACACATTTGATGTCTCTCTAAATGTACACACCTCAACTTAAACTTTACGCCGCCGACGATCATCCTGTCCACAGACCGCTTTTCTATCTTGTGTGTCGCCTTAGTATCGGCGTGGTTGTTGTGTTTCCTCTGAAGGGTTCGTGGCATGCACATCAGGAGAAGCAAAACTTTGCATGGCGTATCCTTTATTTTTGTCTCCTTCTCTGTACATGTGGTGACGCCTCGTTTTGTTAACTGTTTGTCGCCGCTCTTCCCCCCTTCGTCGAGATGAGACAAGCTACCGCTTCAAACAGCCCCTCCGCGCGGCCCATCTTTATCTCCACCGTCATTGACTATTGTCAACGTCCTTAATACGTCGGACGCCATACGCGTCTTGTAGCCAAAAAAAAGACGTTTTCTGATTCCGTCTTCGGTTTTTGGTGATTCCTCCGTTTTCAGTCTTCGTTTGCCATTCGCTTTGCACTCGTCTTCTCTTAACGTCGTACGTCTTTTCTCCCTACTGTGTACGTCTCCCAAACGACCCCTGTCCATAGGATGACGCTGTCTGTGTGTACGTGCCAACCCTGTCGCCGACGGCCTTATTGTTTTATGTTTCCCAAAAGGGCAACCGTCTAGGGTTTTACATCCGCTGTTCCACTTTATCCTTCTCTCTTCTCTCATTTTCTTTTCCTTCTCTTCTTCTCTCGTCCACGTCACACATCACATTTGTAGGCGGATTTCACCGTCGTCTTCCCCCTCTCCCCTTATACCGAGCACTCGCCGTCCAAATGTGCCACCCCTGGCTTCCCCAAACAGATTCCACCACACGTTTTACGACGTACGGTGGACGCCTACAGCACGCACTCCGCTTGATGGACCTCACCGCATCTCTCCCCCGTCTCTGATTCCGTCCAACATAGGTCGTATGTTGCAACTCGAATACCGTCTCCCCACCCAACCCACACCCCAGGGCTGAGTGCCTCTTCTTGCCCCTTGTTGCCGTTTTCTTGCTCGTGAGCCACAAACTGCAGCACTTTCTTGTCTCAGAGAGTCCGGCTTAGCTCCTACCGGTGTTCCGAGCTCTGCCCGTGCTGAGTCCGCTGTGTCGTCCTCATCGTTTTAGTCGTTTTGCTTGTTTTGGCCACCCTTCCCAGCTGTGTCGAAGTTTTTGCTTGATTCTCGATTCTCAAGCTTTGATTTCTCTCTTTGCCACGTCTGCACACCTGTGGCAGCGCAGCTTGTCTCGCCCTCGTCGCTCTTCTTGGCCCCCATCTCGTTTCTCGCTTTTCTCGTTCGATTCCCACGTACTCTGTGCTTTCCGTTGCCAGCTCTAGCTTTTTTCCAGGTCCCTCATATACTCATCGTCGTCTTGCACCGCCTCCCTCTGGGTCCTTTTTCTTTCTGTTTTGTCTATTTTTTTCCAGTTCCTTTTCTTTCCCACAAATCATACCCCCCTCCCCGTTCGCACTTCCTTTTTGCTGGTTCTATTTTTTTTTTTTTTCTGCTTGCCGTTTTCTGTTCCTGTCTCTCTCCCATCGGGCCCGAACCAAGGTAACCATTTTCTCTCCCACATTCTCCTTCGCTCCTCTCTCTCCCCTCGGCTCCTTCGTCTTGCTTGCAGCGCTAGTCACTCCATAACCCTGCCATTATTCTTCTTCTTTCTTTACTTGTCGTGCCTTGTCTTGCCTTGGTCTTTTTGTTCTTCTCTACTTTAACCCATTATAGCCCCCTCTGGTCTATAATATACCAAGAGCTGGCTCTTTCCTCTCTCCCTTTGTCCTGTCTTTTCTCTCTCTGTTCCCTCTTTTATCGGATCGTATTTGTTTTATCCGCCCGAGCTTTTAGTCCCTTTCGGCCAACTCCAGTCTCTCCTTCTGTTATACCCATGGTTTAACTACTTACTTTCTCTTTTATTTCTTCCTTTCTCGACTTTCCTTGACCCTCTGTACTGGTTCTTAATATCGGAGACCTCATACATTCCTTTACTGCTCGATTTTCTTTATTTTTTTCCTTCTCGACACTCCCTCCCTCCTATTCGGAATCTTTTTATATACCGTCTTGCAACAATACGACCAAAGTCAACCTTGGACTGCACACGCACACATCACACACTGTCAACAAACCACACCCCCCCTCCCGGCGACACTGCTCTTTTTCTACAGTCTCTTTTTCGATCTTTCTCTCCCGCTCCCTCTCTGAGAGGCCGATTTCTCGTTCCAGACACCCACACACACCCCACACATACACTCCTTCTCTTTTCTTACCTACTATCCCTTCACTTGGTACCTTTTTTGCAACTCGTTTTGCCAGATATTATTATACCCTCTTCCCTCTTAAGACTTCCTGTCTTTTATCTTCGCCATTTTGCCAACCTATCTCTGTCTTTTCTTTCAGCGTTTCATCGATAGTGTTGACCACCACGCCACAAAAGACGAAAAAAAGGGAACGAAAACAGAACACGGCGACAAGGCAAGAACTACGCCAACAACAACACCACTCGACGGCAACAAACGCAATCAAAAACAAATAAGACCGTACGACAGTCGGTCGGCGACACGCCCCTTGATCGATCACAAAAGAGAACAACGCAGTATTCGCACATTCGAAGACCGTCTCCAACGTTATCTCCCCGGGCCTTCTGAGCCCATCGTCTTTCAGACAACAGTATCGTCTAGATCTGCGACCAAGAACTGGGAAACTCGGCCTTTGAAATTCCAACCGTTCTGCCATCCATGGTGAGAACATCCTCAGTCCACAGAACTCCAGTTTCCGTCCCTCTAACCTCAACGGAGCGTTGTGTCCGTCTTGGGTGGCCAAAATCGTCCGAGTCCGTTCATGCTAACGCTCTTCCTCCTTTGCCTCCCTTCTCGTCTCTCCTCGCCCAGTTTCCGTTGTATACCTCTTCTATCTGAAAACAACGACAGCCAACACTCGCCATGGACATTGACCAGGCACAAATGTAGGTATTTCTTTGCAGTTTTGCGTCTTGACAGTTCCTCCGCGCGGCTCCGCCTCATCTATCTGATTCTTCCTCGACCGCGCGTGCTCGTGTTCTCGCTGTCGAGTGCCCCATCGAGGCCTTGCTGTTTGTTTTCCGTCCGTCAGTCGACCAGGTCAAGGTTGATTGCCTCGACGTCCACGCTTCTCAACGCTCTTTATTAAACAGCACTCTCGCCCTCCCCCGGTCTGGGCCTGGTCCTGGCCACTCCTTGTCTCTTACATGTCCCGTTGTCATTTCTGTCTATTGTTTTTGGTGTTCTCGACTGTGTTTATTTACACTGTCATTGTCTTGGCTCACTTATTTGTTTATGCGTGGCTGTTGCGTTCCTCTCTTTTGATCCTCTACTTACACGCACACAAACAAACAGACACATCCAAACAACGCCGTCGTTTGTCTTTCATCACAGCACAGACGGCAAGAGCGACAACAGCCTGGTAGACCTGGACATGGACCTCAACGACATCCATGGCCCAGGCCAAAGGCAAGGCCATGAATTTGGCCACGAATCTGTGACGGTGCCGCCCACAACGGCGACCTCAGCGACATCGACATTGGCGACTACGACGGCGACGGCGACGACGACGACCACAACCATGGCCGACCAGCCGCCAACACCATTGCCTGCCGATGCAGACCAGAAGCAGCTGCAAACGTCACAAACCATGTGGACAACACCAACATCCCACGGCCTCCGCCCGCGGCCGGCCACGATCCACGAGGGCTTTTCATACTGCATGGGCGAGGCATACGACGGCCTGACATCGTGGGACACGTCGTCCACGACCCAGTCCACAACCCAGTCGCAGTCGCGGCCCATCTCGATGCACCAGGAGTTTGACGACGGCAGCAACTGGGCACAGGCCGTGGGCCAGCAGAAACCGCTCGAGGACGACAGCCTGGATCTGCAGCACCTGGTGGACAGCGACATGGGCATGGGCATCGGCCAGGCGTACACGACCGACGAGGCCATTCCCATTCTGGATTTGCGGTTTTCGGCCGCATCGGGTGGCAACGGTGGTGGCGCCAACCGCCGGCTGTCCGGCTCATCCTTCACCATGTCGACGACGGGCGGCCTCTCGGACATGCCCTCCTACGAAGATTTCTCGGCGGCGCTGTCGGATGCGCCCTCGTTCTCGTCCGAAAGCTATCCGCCGCCGTCGAACCGCAACTCGCTCATGTCATCCACACAGCTGTCGCCCGTGGCCTCGCCGCGTATGACGCCACAGGGCCGCTCGGAACTGGTGCGTACACAGAGCCGCGGTCGTGCGTCGCCCTCACCTCGACCCGGCCTGCGAGCTGCGCCATACAGCATGGAAGGTCCCCGCAACAAGCGGTGGTCCACGGGCTCGTACGGCACCATGCCGAACCGGAGGCCGTCACCATTTGTCTACCACGGCGGTGTCGCAAACAACATGCTGGGCGCGGCCACGGCGTCGTCGTCCACGCAACAGCACCAGTCATCGCCTACGGCCGCCAACGGCCAGCTGCCGCTCAACATTGGCAACTTACAGCAAGCGTCGGTCGCAGCTGCAGCCGCTGCTGCGGCTGCTGCCGGCGTGCCTGCCCAAAATCCGTTTTTCCTGTCGGCCCACCACGTCGCGGCTGCCACTTCGGGCTACAACCGCCACAGCATGCTCCTGCCGACGCAGCTTCCGTCACAGGCAGGTGCCATGGCCTTCCACCACCCGCACTTGGAAGGAAGCGGTGCCGGTGGCAGCTTCCCTGGCGCACATCATTTCGCACCGCATCCCAACATGATATCAACGCACGCCGGTGGCCTGCACCCGCACCCACATCCCATCCCCAGCCACCATCTCCAGCTCGGCAGCAACAACCACTTGGGCCCTGTGCCGTCCAACGCCTTTGACCCGGCAGCGCACCACCACCATCCACACCAGCCCGCGCCGCTGCTCTCCCACGGGCTGTTCCGCATGCTCCAGAGCAATGCCGACCCCCATTCTCTGCATCACCACGGCGGCGGTCTCCATCACCACTACACGGACCTGTCCGACCCGCCCGACTTGTACGCGTCCCTCCACGAGGACCAGGTGCCACCGCCGCCCGAAGACATGAACCCGGCGGACCCGGACCTGATGCCCCACGAGCAGGAGCTCCGGTTCACGGGCGACCTGTACACGCCCAAATGGGTCCGCGGCCACGGCAACAAGCGCGAGGGATGGTGCGGCATCTGCAAGCCGGGCCGGTGGCTTGTGCTCAAGAACTCGGCGTTTTGGTACGACAAGAGCTTTACGCACGGCATCAGCGCCGCGACGGGCAACCCGTTCCAGGAGCCCCTGGAGACGCGCCGCATGGACGGCAACCCGGACGTGTGGGAGGGCCTGTGCGGCAGCTGCAACGAGTGGATCGCGCTGGTGAGCAGCAAGAAGAAGGGCACGACGTGGTTCCGGCACGCGTACAAGTGCCACACGCACCCCAAGATCAAGGACGCGCCCAAGCGGCGGCGGGAGAGCAGCCATGCTCGGGCGGGCGGGCTAAGCGCAAATGCGAATGCAAATGCAAATGCCAACGTAAACGGAGGAGGCGGCCCTGGACCTGTCGTCAAGTCGCGCCCCAACAGCCAGTGCGGACCTAGTCTGCAGGTAACGACGGCCGGACCGATTCCAGGCTCGGGCGCACCGCCGCCCATGCCCCACACGCCGCTGACACCACAGCTCACACCGGTCCCAGCGTCGGCCACAACGGTCACACCCACGTCGGGGCCAACGGGGGCTGCCAATGTGCTCCCTGTCCAGATGCCCGTTCCCGTGTCGCTAGCCATGGCCGGACTGTCGTCGATGCCGTCGGAGGCCGAGCAGATGATTCTGCAACAGCAGCAGCAACAGCACCAGCAGCAGCAGTCATCATCACCTCTCGGCGAGTCGCACGCTCAACAGCCAAGCCCACTAGACTATGCGCATCTGCCTCCATCCCACCCACCGCCATCACACCCGCCTCCGCCAGTCCCACCACGCTCACATCTGCGTTTGCAACAGGCTCAGCAGCAGGCCCAACAACAGCACATGGCACAGATGGGGGCGATGCAGCAGCATCACCAACAGATGCAACAACAGGCACAGCAACAGGCACAGCAACAGGCGCAGATGCAGGCGCAACAGCAGCAGCAAAGAAGTCTGCAGCATGTCCGTCAGCCGCAACCACCACCCCAGCAGGCACGCCCCATGATGACGCCCATGGCCTCTATTGAAGGCCTGGGCAACATGATCTAGGCTGTGGTATTGTGTGTTTTCGTTTTGCATCTTTTTTAATTCCATGTTTATTTTGTTCCCTTTGTTTACTTTCTATTTTTATTTTTTCTTCACATTCAACATCCACGTCAAGAGGAGGAAACGCACTCTAGGTATGAACCAGTTTTACAACCATCACGGCCTTTTTACATATATATTATTGAAAGGACAAGGAGACGGCAAAGAATGAGGAAAAGAAGGAGAAATACCCCAGGCCGTGGCATCTTGAGTCATTTTTTGTTTAGCATTTACCCCCTTCGTTTCCTATTCGTTTTGTTTACGTCCCCTTTCGCCACCACAAATCCACAACACACAAGAAAAACACAAAAACACAAACAAAAAAGGGCTGTCACAGGAACCTCCAAACCAACATTACACGGCACGGCTGGGTCACTGTCGCGAACGACTAAGTGACGTGGTATTTATGAACAAGAAAATATGAAGATGCACATCCACGTTTTACACCCCGGCGGTATGAATGAGAATTAACGACCAGTCATGTGTTATTTTTCTGTTTTTCTGATTGCTATTTTTTGTTATTTACTTTCCTTTGTTCAGTCCGCAGTAGTTTAGTTCAGTTTACATTTTTCAATGAGTTCCTTTTAGGACGTCTCCCTCCAACTTCCTGCATTCATACATTTGATATCGAGCACACGATCTGTGCAAGGCTGCAGTATGCCGTGCACTAATGCACATTTTCAACACAAGGCTGCACGTGTGTATTTATGAATTCATATACGACGTACATACTGTCGACTCCATGCGATGTGCAATGCTATGTCTCGTCCCTTTTTCCCGTCCGAGACTGTGGGCTGCTTGTGTTGATCGGCATGTGCACATTTTTGTCCACCGGAACGACGGCGGCGGGATCAGCCTCCTCTCATATCGTTGGACGATGAATGACAAACGATGAACGACAAACGCCAGACGATGAACGGATCGACACATATTTTCAAACTGGCTGTCCACGATCGTCCCTGTCAGGCAGTTGTCAAGTACGGGGAATGTAAAAGAGAGATAACAGGGACTCGAGAGAATGATTTCAAATATTCCTCTCGGGCTTGCCTTGCTTGTCATTGTCTCCGCGTGCTGGTCTTCACGGCAAAAAAGATCTCCTTTGCTAAGATCACCGAAGGAGATCTTTTTCGGCAGAAGATCACTCAAGTCTTGAGCTTTCTACATTCTTCGTTTGTCGCTCACCCGACCGTATCCTTGTCTGCACACAAGTCTCTTCTTGCCTCTTTGACACCCTTACTTGGAGCCATGGTCTCACCCAAGAAGACTTACGGCTTATTTTGGCCACCAGCAAATGTAGAAAGGACAGAGGTGAGACAAGAAGCTCCTTTTTCTTCGTGTGTTTGTGTACAGACGGGCCCGCAGCACCAAACCTACCAAAGAATTTAGAGAGTGCATACTGTCAGGGCGACATCATAGCAACAATAGGACTTATTTAGAAGAATAATAAAACGTATGACACCGACCAAATAGGATTAGAGTGAGCGACCAATGCAGGGAGGGTAGAGCCACATTCAAACTTCGGAAAGAAGTAAGCACAGAAGAAAGCGAACGATGTCTCCTGGAGCAAAGGGCGCACTACAGTCACCGGTCGTAGCTGATGGACATGTCTTGCTTCTCCTTTTCCACATTGCTTGGATACACTTGTTGCACCGGACAATGAATGGCTCGCCATGGCAGTGTCTCATTATGTACTCACAACAACTACTCCGTATGTAGTTTCGTAATTTGACACTTTGCACTACACTGAATATGCGCTTTTGCCCACCGTTCTTCCGTTCTTCAACTTGGGAAACCAAACTATTGGCCCATAAAGACGATTGGCAGCTTCATTGGGCAGGACAGTGTAGTCCAAAATGGACGAGAGCATTTACTTTTTTATTTTTCCACGTCGCCCACATCGTCCTGTGTCCAAAACAGATCTGGAAGAGCTTCATAAAATAGATACGGAAATAGAAGGACGGGCCACAAAGAAAGCGCCTAATACACGGTCTCGCCAGGGGCAGGGCAATTCTGCAATAGCAATATAACCCTTCTTTATTCTACACGGCGCCAGAAACGTATACGATGAAGATTTCAGATTCCATGTTGCGATCTTCAGATGCACACCTTCTTTCTCAGGTGCTTCAGCGCTTGGTTGGGAGACACAAGACCCAGGGGCCCCGAGGAGACACGGCATAAACGATGACTGAAACGGGCGCTTGCTGAAGTTGGAAAGGCTGCGGAATACATGACGCATTTCAAAATAATAAATGCAAGCACGCCTCTCCCACACAACGGCCTGGAAACACAGCAGAGTTGCCTCTGTCGTTCGACGTGTATTCGTAGGCGTCGTTCATAGACGTCCGTAGCCCACTTTCACTGTCCGCACTCTCCCCATATCGTCTGATCCTTCGGCATGGCCTTGTCGAGCCCGAATCGAGGGAGGACTGCACTGCTGTAGAGCCTGTCGCAACTGTTCCACTTGATTTGTGTGTCGCTGCCAAGTCGTCTATCTGCTAGGAAATATTGATCCTCTCTTCTCCCTTGCGTCAGAGCCCGACTTGGCAGCAAACGAACATCCACAGACCGGAATGGACACGAAAAGAGAGCAAGAAACAATGGGCTGCAAGTGCAATGTACTTGAGCGCGAGTGGTCATAATTTGCGACTTGCTGAATCTAGGCCTCTGTATTTCAAAAGGACCGTGCATTCCAATATGTACGACATATGTGTAAAGGGAGTAAATACCCCGTACAGACGCTGATTTTACACATTCTTCAGATTTCCGCACTCACACATACACGCCAAAAAAAGGCACCGTTCTGTGCATGCACAATTGCACACAGCGGCAAAGTGCCGAGCACGCACAGGGCTTAGTCCAATTGAGGCAAAGCCCACCGATTCGCCGGGGCACAGAGAAAAGCATGGATCGAACTGCAAAGAGTTGGTTTCTGCGCAGTTTTACGCAACATACGACGTAAAGGTACTACTAGGCCATTCTTGTCTGAGATGTAACGAGAAGGAGAGAAAAGGTTGCAAAGAGACAGTACGGAGACGCCGCCTTCCAACTTGCCCGTTCGGCTATTAAGAAAAGAACCACGGCACGTTTCTACTGGAGCACAAATAACGAGTATCCGGCCAGTCAAGCAAATAAAGATACAAACACCGGCAGGGGGTTGCGGCGCAGGTTTATTTTTATCGTCTCGCTTGGGATGCTCGTACGTCGTACGACAACAAAAAAAGACGTTGACGGCGAGTGGAGACGGACAGGACAAAAGGTTGGGTTGCATGTGAGTTGCACGCTCGTAGGGCAGTATGCAGCATGACACAGCATTACGGCGTGATACAATGTGCTCCCCAAACAAAATCAATTGTGTACGATGCACTCATGGCGAACGACATATGAGAGACGCACCAAGGCTGCCTCAACAAAATGTCCCTGGGTGGCTTTTTGGCTGTAAGTTCCCAGACCTGAGCTGTGATTGGCTCGGGGTGTCCAGCCAGACACAATCTGTTCCTGGTCCTGTCTTGACCCAGTCCCTGAATCCGCGTGCGATAGGGTCACTATTTTGGGCGCCAACGAGTGGCAAATGCACGGCCCCTTTTTCATGTGAGAGGGGGAGCTCGGGAGAGGCTGTTGGAGGCAATTACTCCGCAGGTCGTATTTGTTATGCGCCGTACCACATTCGACGTATCTCACGCACTTCTTGGAATGTTTTGCACGAGGATGACTAAACTTCGACTGGTTTTACTTTCCATCGTCGGAGATGCTGAATACTACTATGGGTAAGATACGACATATGCCGCACTTGAAACGAATGTCGAAAAATAAAATGCATTACAAGTACACACAAAAGGCGACCGGTGAAGGCAGCAAAGCCAGGCAGGTCATTACATTACCTGGTCGGGAACTCAAACGCAAAAGCTCCTATCCTAGTAGGGCAATAATAAAAGGCCTTGGAACTAATTCTGCAAGCACTCTAAGATACCAAGTCAAGTTGCTCCGGCCAGACCATGCCCTGTCAGCCAGTTTAGCTTCTGTGAGCGGTCTTAGCAGTGCAACCAATGACGGGGGTTCCAGTAGTGTAATACGTCGTAATACCGACAGAATTCATCCCCCGCCTGGTCTGGGATGGAGAGAAAATCTCACAAACGTGGAGTAGAAAATACAACCGATCCATTGTAAAAAGTGGTAAAATGAGAGAAAAACCGGTTGTGGACGGCGAAGTGAGTATTTACGAGTTGTCTAGCAGGGACCGGGGACACCAAAAGACCACTGCACAGAAAGAGTGGCAGGGAACAGGCCGCTCCGAAGGATTTCAACTTCCGGCATCTGGGCTGTGTCAACGTCAGTACTTCGACACATTTTCCTGCGAGTCGTCTCTACTCCGTAGGCCTTCCAGATGTATGTCAGGACAGGGGGGAGTGTTAGCCAGAGGCCTGGCCTTACCTGTTTCCCTTAGCAATAAGACCGAAGAAGATTGTTGGAAGGAAGAGACACCTGTCTCCTGGGGCGTTACCTTGCTTTCACATTGCCTTGTTCATGAATCCATGACAACGCCAGGTATTCTTGGCGTACTGCGTTTGATAAGGAAGGTTTGCCCGGCACTTAACCTGACATGTAATGTGACAAGGGACGCACAAAACGTGCGCACAACGAGCGAGGGCTCTGCAGAACCGAAATGAGACGAAAGCATAGAACAAAACGACACGTTCACTGTCACGCCGCATCCACTATGCAGGAACAAAACCACAGCCAGACTCTCGCTGCCGCAGATACGACCTGCAATACGACGTACAAGCCTGAAACGGTTGACAAAAGGCTGGGGGGGCATCTGCAGGAACGAGATTGAGGTTTGCCACGCTAGCAGTCTGCGGTTGGTATCGTAATCCAAATTACTTCGTTCTGCTGGACTTGGGCAAACGAGGCGAGAGACGGATGACAACGTATAGAGACCGTCCGATTGTTTGCCGGCGTCAAATCCG